GTAGCTCTTCCACTTAGAGAGTTGCTTCACTTACTCCCAGCCAAATGAATTCCAGCCATTGAAAGCTAAACATGAAAATTCGGGAAGGGGAAGCAGAAAGCCACCTGCAGTCTTGAACAGATGAGGAAAAACAAGAGTGGTGCGTTCAGTGACCTGAGAAGATGCACATAGCTCAGTGTGGAGTCCCAAGCCAGAGCTATGTGTGACAGGACATGAGTACAACAACCAGCATGGGAAACACTTCATTTCTTGGCAAGCGGACTCTGCAAACCCATGTCTACCACTTCGACATCCTGCTGATTTCTACTGGAGTCTGTTATAAGTATTGGGAGCATCAGACATCTGCTTGCTTCCATGAATGTTGCTAAGGCTACTGGTGGGCTGATTGATGTGTGGTTACCACCAGAGAGCAGCCTGAGTGGCAGCAGCTGACCTTCTTAGGAGCATCTGTATTGCTCCTCACCTTCCCTCTGGCTTTTGCTGTGACCTTTGGATACAGATCAATCCCAGATTAGTCTCTGTTAACAATAAATACCCTAAAATTAGGATACAAGTAGACAAGTTCTGAAAAGGTTACACAAGCTCAGGGTGAGGTAGTACAAGACTCTGCTTGCCATGCTGGAAGTTGATCTGTATGGTCTGTTTTCCAAGTCTTTTCCAGTCCCTTTACCTATGATTCCAGAGCAAAACCAGCTGGACAGCCCCAGGATGGGGGAGCTGTGGTAAGGCACCTGTGCCTTCTCAGCTGGACTACACAAAGCCCTAATATAGTCCAGGGGATGGACTATAACTTATTTTCTGGGCACTCCGTGGTATGTTGATGAACTACTATTTTGACAAGCGAAGATGGGTAAATTCATACAGCTGTACTGGTCTGGCTTCAGTTCATAAGTAGCAGGCGAGGTTTTTCATTTTCCCTTGAACAGTTATATGGTCCTGCCCACTCCATTTGTGAACTTCTGGCTGCACAAATACCAAAGCAGGCTTATATGTTATGCAGACGTATATGCTATGGAAGCTGTAGGCCATGTAACAAACCAAATTTTTATCTTGACGTTGTATCCAGCCCGTAGAGAACATCACTGATCATCAACTATGAACTGGTTAAATAAAAACCTTGATCCATATATCATCAAAGGTATTCTGTGCATCTTTGCAACATACTCAAGTGTTTAGTAACAAAAAAAGTCTGAGGGGAAAATGAACTGTGTCATGGGTGATATAAAGCTGCATCGGCACCTATAAAGTGCCCTAGCAATACAAGAGAATTGAAGTAATGAACAGAAGTGCTCAGTTAGAGCTTTTTTCCATATTTTATGTTAATCATGAGGGTAGAGCTGAAATTAGCTTTAATTGATATTAAGGGATGAGAAAATGAATCCTCTGGAGAATCAGTCTCTGTAACCTTTAACGATGCAGTAAATAAAATATCCTGTCAACATTTGTGCAATAGTAAGGGTTTTCAAAATTCCATATCTGTTTGGCGAGCAATTCAATAAGCCTAATTCTCTCCATTACAGCAGATAAAGGTGATGCCAGTGCATAATTCAGCTACAGGTTTTCCACGTTTCCAAGCTATCTGTCATACCTGGTAATTCCCCGTGCTGGCTTTTTACTCCTAACAGGGAGATGGAGAGAGGAAGAAGGAACTGTCAGAACTAAACAAATTCTGCATGCTGGCTTTTTCATTTGTGCACCTTCTGACTTGTAGGCTTGTGAAGCCAGTGCACCAATAGAGAAACTGTGCCCCAGTAGAGGGTGAGGTAAAAGGAGCAACACTGCCTATTCTTCCTTTCAGGTGAAATATGCTTGAAAATGTTTCATTTTTCACTTTAAAGGTAAGGTGGAATTGTGAAACACTTCAATACCTTAGGGACACTTAGTTTGGCGATAGTCAGACCATTCTTCTATCTGTCAGGGCTCAGCCTGGTATTGAAACACCCAACAACTGACTTGGTGAAGCACATGAAATATTCCTCTGCTGTAAGCAGGAAACCTGTTTTTCATAAAATCCATTTGATCACTGCAATCAATTGCAAGTATTGCATCATTTAGGCAAGCTACTTTAACATTGATGGCTATTCCGCTATAGTTAACTGAGAAACAGAAAACAAATCTCCCCATTTATAACCATCTTTGTCTTTCATCAGAACTGACACAGTTATAGTTCTCATATCATGGGGTATATATCTCCTTGGGAAAGTTCCCAGCAAGCCTTTCTGTATTAAGGGGAATATGTTTCTGCATACTTATAGAAGTCTTTCTGAGTGATGGTAGAGTTGCACCAGGGTGTGAGTCAGTAACTTCTCTGAAACAAGTCGTAAAATCTTTGAGAAAAGCGTGTTTTTTAAAATGTTGAGGTAACATTGGGGTTTAGGAGGATTTAGGGGAGGAAGTGAAACAGAAGTGTCCCCAAAATTAGCTTCTACCTTGTACTGTGTTTGCAAGCTCTTTCCTCTGATGAAGACCCAGCTGTACTGGGACAGTATGATATCCCAGGCCTGCCAAGGATGTGTTGAAACTGTTAAAGGGATCAGCAAGGTCTAGATAAAGTAAATACGTTTTATCAGCAAAAATGTTTGGAAGTCAAGTTAAGCAGTGATATGTCTGGTTTAAAAAGGAAACGGCCAAACCAGTGAAAACAAACCTGATGAACGCACGGCTACTGGGACCAGCCAACTCCTGGCCATGTCACATCCGTTCCTAAGGGATGGCCAGCAAAGCAATGGGAAGTGCCGGGAATGACGGAGGCAGCCCTTATAAGTAAAGTAATTTTATGGAGTTAAGACACAGAGGATCTAATTTTCTTCTAGAAGACTCATTACCATGATTTTGTAACACATTATTTATGGGCTGTTATGATAGTCCTGGCAGGTCATAATTGGCTGAAACCGGAGAATTAGTCACATTCTTCACATTTGGAAGAATTACCTGTACAGTTACACTAATGACTTCATTCCCGGAGATGCCATGCAATGGGCAGGGACTGTCTGTCTTGGAGTATGGCTGAATTAACCCTTTCTGGTTCTGAGCACCACGCAAAGGTGCTTGAATTTGTTCATGGGACACCAAAAATGACTTTTCTTTACTTCAAAGCAGCTCTTTGGTATATAAGTGACTTGTAGTTTTCATGATGGCTTCCCTTTTCTTTCCCTTTCCTTGAATCTGGAGTTACTTTTGTCTTACACTATTTTTCTATGGGGAAAATGCATTTTTAACTAGTCTGTCCATGCAGGGGCATTGCACTCTTCCCCATCAGAGCTGCTGCAGCATTACAGCAGTAAGACAGGCCCAGCTTTTCCACCGATAGTTTTTAAACCCTGGTAAGAGATGAGCAGCAGTTTAAACTGAGGAAGGGCCTTATTGGCAGCACTCCTAACTATGCCCTGCTGTGTACATAGCAAAACCCAAACAATTTTTCACAGATGATGAATCAGAAGGGAGCAGTATAATTGTTTTACGTTCCTTTTGGGACAGCACAAGCTGCTTACTCTTGAATTAGAGCCTGGCGAATGTCGCTGTATCTTCCTGAAAAATGGACAGCTCTGGAGATTTCCAGTGATCAGGAATCCACTGCACCATTGGCTGACCACTCCCAAATCCCTAAATTACTGCTGTTAAAAAATGGACATGAATTCTGCAATGAATTTGTCTAGGTTGGATTGTAGCTCTTGGGTCATGTTGCAATTTTGTCTGCTAGACTGAAGAGAAAAGCATGTGACCATGGGAGAAATCTATAGACCATGCTTTGGAAAATATTGCCTTGGAGTGAAGGATGGTGGGAGAAAGTTAATGGGTGACTTGGTCCGATTTGCAGCTTTTCTAAAAACGTTTCCCATCTTACTAACCTCCTTCTTGGTCTGTGGGTGTCAGGACCAGCACAACATGCTGGGTTAACTGGCATGCGAAATTCAGATTCGGGAGAACCTCCCAACTGCTTTTGGATATTCCCTGTTTATATGGTCAGGGTTGGCTTAAGTCTTTTGGTCAAAGCATCATGCTGATGGCATAGGGCCCAAGCTGCAGACTGTTCTGGAGCAGCTAAGAGCAAAGCAGCTTGCAGCAGACGTTCTACCACAGGCAATGTGTAAACCCTATCCATGGCTCTGGGAGGCAAAGCTCAGCTACATGCTTTGTCCAGACAATCTCTCCAGGAGCAGTGGCCCTCCTGACGTGCTGTCACCACCTCCTGCAAGCTGCCTCTGCTGCTCTAAGCAATCTGTGCTTTGTCGCTCCAGTGCAGAAAAGGGTTGGCCAGTGCTGAGCTGAAGGCAACCTCTTTAATCAAACTAAGAGGTGGGAGTTACAGTGTTTGTAAAATACTGTACAAATGGGAGGGTTTGATCGCATTAAATGAAGGATCAGATTCATTAAATTAAGTGGAAAGCAATGTACATGGATAATTTCAAGGGTTGAGACTGAATACGGTTTTTAAATAGGAAGTGATCAGCCACTATACACAACACAGAGCAGCTCTCAAACATTTTTAATGACAGTATTTGCACACACTTTAGTTTAATTAACACATGGCACAAGAGAGGTTTGGTAACTAGGATGTAGTCTCACACCAGTCATCTCAGTTATAACACATGAAATTTCAAGCGTCAATACACGAAGAAAAATGTCACTCGCTCCTGCCCAGCAAGGTCTGGTGATTTGAATTTCCCTTGCACCTTGTTTCTCTTGGATGCGACAGTAATTCCTTCTCTCCAGATGCAGAAGTCCCCTTAGAAGGAAGTGGATTATGAGCTTCTCATTGGATTTATTTCTTGTTTTCTGCAATCAAAATTAAGGGGACTGTGTATTGTCACTGCCCAGTGATCCACGTTACATTTCTGACAGCTATGATTATTAGTAAATATGTAGTAATTGCTTCCGGAATTAACTAGAGCAGCTCTTCTGTGTCTGTATGTGTAGGAGAGATTTCCTGCAGCGTGTGATCCCTTTGTTAGCATAGCACTCATTAGACACCAGAGAACTCTTGCAGACGCAGCCGGGTTTTACGCCTCTGCAGGTGTGGTGTTGGTCCGGGGGACTAACTTCAGAATAATTGGTTTCTCTGGTTTTAAGAATCCCCGTGAAGTCAGCTTGAGAGGGATCTGCAACAATAAGAGGAAAAACACACTTGGAGATAAACAAATTACATAGGTAGAGATTAAAGGAAAGAAACTTGTCCACGGTTTGGACATGACTTGATCTGTAGTGCCTGAAAGTGCACCTTCCCTGAAAGTGCAAAGCATCCGGTGTTAGCCCCCACGGTGAGGAACTAGGCACCTCGGTCTTTGCATGCAAGTTTCAAAGCGTAATGTGCTCCTCACCGGAGTTTCTTTGCAGGTCTGAAAGGTGAAATGTTGCAATAGGATGGTAATGGCAACTTTCAGAGTCAGGAGAGCAAACCGCATCCCGATGCAGTTCCTGGGACCAGCTCCAAAGGGCAGGTACGTATATGGGTCTATGGTCTCTTTGTTTTCCTTGCTGAACCTGGATAACGACATGGTTGGGGAAAAGAAATGAATGCAGAAAAAAACCCAGAAAGCTACATATCTGTATTACTTATCCAGAGATCTCTTGCTGGTACCCTACAGTCTTGTCTGATTTTTTTCACTAAGGTGTTTCAGCATACCCCAGGAATGGAGTGCTGTGTCAGAGCCCTTGTCCAGGTCAGATGGGATCCCACTTGGGTGTTAGATTTTAATTCTGTCCATCCAGACTAGTAGAAGTTGGAAGCAAGGTGAAAAACTAGGGAACACGCTCTCCCAAAGTGACAGGTATTTCTTATCTGTTGTATTTAGTGAGAGAGAAACCAGGAGTCGTTCTTGGTTAGGAGCAGCCTGTGGCTTTAGGCTTACTGAGAATGAGAGTTAGAGACCAGTTATAAAAATAACTAACTAGGGAGAAGTTATCACTTCCTTGAAAACAAGGAGGGAAGGCAACTCCAGAAGGATCAACTCTGGTATATTTGGTAGCAAAGCCTGTGTGAAAGAAATAGGTTCAGCGATGAAGACTATACAGAAGGACAGCCAGCAGTTACGAAAACTCACCAACTACCCACTCTGTCACAAGCCTAAAAACTCTGTATGAGATGTTGTGAGGTACCAACATTATTCTCCCAATATGTTATGTTGTTTGAAACCCCACTTTAAGTGCAAAGCTCATTTTCTTCTTAAAAGGACATTCCCATGAGCCTGCAATTTCTCATCAGTATTGTTTGTAAAAAGACAGGAAGAACACCATTAGGAAGCTAATCAGAGATTAATACTTAATTACTACATGAGGAAAAAGCAGTGTGATATTTCTTCCCTTTTCATTACGCTTTTTGTACCTTTCTGGTCTGAACTCCTCTGGGTTTGGCCAGTACTCAGGGTCGCGGTGCAGGCTATAGGGTGGGATCATAACAACTGTTCCTTTGGGAATGGTCACTCCATTTATTTCTACATCTTTCTTGCATGTTCTCTCAATCCGTCCTCCAAGGGGAAAGAGCCGAAGGGTTTCACTCACTGTCATGTCAAGATATTCCAGCTGCATCATTGCCTCGTATGTGAGAGGAGCCTGTAGGATGACAGGAGAAAAGTGACCAGGTGTGGTCACATGAGGGTTGGATTGTCCTAAAATGACTGCTGAGACCAGTGTCTCCAAACCCTACTGCCCCACCTATGACTCAGACTCACTGAAGAACAAAATGCAAGGTAGAAATTGTGTCATCAGTTTCATTTTTCATCCCTGAGTGATGGAAATGTCTGGAAATCCCCATCCCCTTGCGCACGGGTGTGGAGTGTGGCAAATGGGCTGGTGCAGTGGGGTGGCCTGGAAGGTTTCAGCTGCCAAAACAAAATTGCTCCAGGGCTGAGTCATCTCTGTGTGTCTATTAGAGTTCTTGAAAGATCCCAGGGGGAGGCTGTTTAGGAGCTAAAGATTTCTCATTCTCTTGACTGAACAAAGAGGACAGCAGGGTCAGAGGATCTTCACTGTCACTCAACGTCCTCTTACCTTGTTGGGTAAAACTGTGTCGACTTCATCCAGCACCTTTTGCTGCACATCAGGATGTGTGGCCAGCTCATACGCCAGGTAAGTAAGTATGTTGCTGGTGGGCTCGTACCCACCAAATATGAAGATGAATGCTTGTGACAGGACCTCTGCGTCGGTCAGGGCTGTTAGGAGAGAGGACGTGGGGAAATAAGGAAAACTGGTGTTGGCTGATGGTCTCAGCAAGGAACAGGTAGCAATGGGTGGGGCTGAGGCTGGTGTGTTGCAGTTACTTTCTGATAACACATTTATAGGTACTCTATCTGCCTGGAAAAAGTCATCTGACAGAGGAGCCAGATGATTTCCCAGGTGTAAATGACTGACATGGCAGTCCTGCTCCCTGGCAAAGGACCTGGGGAATTCCACTTAGGCCTGATGCTGGCAACAAGGGGCAGTGACTTCTGCCTGGAGCTGGTCAGTGGAGATAGTGGTGACCCATTGAGCCTTTCTCTGGGAAACAGCTCGCCATAGTAACCTCCCTCCCACAGCCCCTGTTCCTGTGATGAATATTTGGGGGGTGTTACCTTTATATGAGTGATTTGTTCCATTGCTCCCATTGCTGGTTGACTTCTGGGATTCAATCATCAGCTGCAGAAAATCTACTCTACCCTGAGAAGAAAAGCAGGAGAGCTTCTTTGGTGACAGGTCCCTCGCAGGGCTCAGATAAGCAGATTTCACAGCCTAAGCACAATTTTTAAACTGAAAGTGTCCCCAAAATGCATGACTTATTGGAGGGAAAAAAAAAAAAAAAACCACAAACAAAAAAAAGCCAAAATGCTTTTTATTTTTGAAAACATATCTGTCCTTTTTGTGAACCCCCTGGGTGGGAGAGAAATGTCTTGAATGAATTTCAGGGAAGGGATCCAAACCTTAAAGTGAGAATTTTGCCAGGAAGCAACTTCAATTTTTGAAAAGTGAGAGGGCAAGGAGCAACCCTGAAAGGTGGAATTGCTGCTCTTGTGCTGTTACTCAGCACTCCCTCATCTTCTGCCTAATCTTCTTCAGGGAGTCTCTGACTTATTCCAAGTTCTGCAAACCCAAGCTTAGTCCAATCCTACTGAGTCTTTATCTGGATTTAGCTTCGGATTGAGGATGTACAAAGTCCACTTGCTTCTCTGCCAGGCCTGGTCAGGTGGGGCTTTTCTGTTTATTGTGAGGCTTTTCTGTCTATTCAAGTCAAGTGTTTACACTTACGTATATTTAGGGTTTTGTTGAGTCATTGTACTTTGGCTTCACCTTTGATACCATCACCTTAATTATATTTCACTTAAGTGTATATTCAGCCGCAATTGCTAGTGAATTCACACTTGCTTACCTTGTGAGTCTCCTTTTCACGATCGCTCTTAATTTTGGAGAGGGTTCTCATGAAGAAGTCTACAGCACTACTGGGGAAGAAGCTTATGTTCATCTTGGCCAAAAGAGGAGTAAGAAATGGGCATACAACTGAAAGAAGTTGAGAATAAAATCACACAATGTAAACAACTCCACCTCATAAGATAGTTATGGATGTTACTGAGGAAGTAATGCTGTTATGGAGAAATAATTTCCTCCTTGATTTCTTTAGCTGGGAGAAGTCTGGGCTTTACCTTTTTTCCTCTTTCTGCTTCCCTTGAGATAGTTTGTGTTTATGCAACCCTCTCCCAAGTTTCTGTCAAATGGGCACATCTGAGCTGGGTATAGTCATTGCTTTAAGAGATGACCACCTTTTTCTAAGGCACTGTTTTCTAAGGACAGGTTACTTCTGTACATTGTACAGCACTAAAACAGAAATGTGGCTCAGAAGAGAAATATTGCAAATTCTGAAATATTTTCAGGCTGAGCTATTCGCTGTCATGCTGTGTTTATATAAACATTTTCAAGTCCCCTTCAGAGCACTTCCTTCATCACAGAGAATAGATCTTAAGCTTGTGTATAGATTCATAAAACCTACAGCACCAGAACGTCCTGTATGCACAGATAGCAACTTTCCCTGTGTTTTAGCAAGGTATCTAATCTTGATTTAAGGTTGCAAGTGATTTAAGGTCCATCACTGTCACTGCTAAGCTATTGCATTACTAGGAAATTGCATCTAATTACAGTCCCCACTCGGCACTCTCTTCCAGAAAACATTTCAGATAGCACCACTCTCCTCAAGCCTCAAAGCTGAACTTGTTTTTCAACCTGCAAGTCATTTTCCAGCACTTATTGGGATATTGGCTGGGATGTTCATATGTTTCTTGCATTGTGGATGTCAGAGGTGGACAAAGCTTTTACCCACTTCCTTCCCAGAATTTTAGCATGAAGCTAATGATGAGGAAATGAGACAAGAGCCATTAGGACTTCCAACCTAGCTACTGAATATATCTAAGCAACAGTTGATTGATTAATGTATAGGATGCACCCTGATATGCTTGCTAAAGTCACACTTCAACAGTATTCTGACACCTGAATGAAGTTTTTGACAAAAAAGTCACTTACATATGAAGATGAAGAGTGGGTCAAAGAAGTCAAACTTGACCAGCTTCTGCATCTCTCTGACAAAGGGGTCTTTGGGGTTGTTCATGGAGTCGATGTTCACACCGAATGAAGTACTGGTGACAACATCCATGCTGTAGCTTCCAAAGATGCTGAGGAAAGATGGAAAAGATAGACCAAGTGAATGTATTTTTCCCAATGCCTATGTGACATTTAAATTTACATTCTCATAAGACCAGTTTTGAAAAGGAAATTGGATATATGGCAACTGAAAAGCACTTATAGTGAAAGGGATAGACTTTTAGAGAGCTTTGGTTTCAAGCCTGTGTAAGTTTTGAAACTGGATAGCTTTTCTGAGGATTTTAAAACAGCATGTAGCTGCATGAACAGGCTAGTGCAAGGACAGCACGTGGCTCTTGAGCACGTTGGCTTCTTGGGGAGGGGTGGTAACAGACCTTGCTTTGAACATGCCATGAAAATGATCCTGTTCAACCCAGGACAGCCCTACAGTATTACAAACTGTCTAAGCCCTCTCCTTATGGAGTTTTTTGGCAGGGGAGAGCTTTCCTTGTGTGTGACTACTAGTGTGCAGCTGCCCCTCCTGCATCTGTGCTTTGAAATTGGGGATGACATACACAGGTTTTGTCCCAGAGCCCATATGGAGGGCACAGATGAGGATGATGCACACAGGGCCACACTACAGGCTTCCTTCTCACTCCCCCCAGGAATGGGGCAGATGATGGATGATCATCCCACAGCACTGTGTGTGGGGCAGGGAGGCCAGCAACCCCAATGCCCTGTGGTATGAGATGTTGCACAGACATCCTGACTATATGCAAGAAAAACTGGATTTTCCTGGTGGATTTGGGGTTATCTTGGATCTCTGGATTCAAAAAGCTGTGCTGGAGCACTTTTCTCCCAATCTAATTCCTTTTAGAAAACTTCTCTCTCTGGGTCTCTGCCTCCAGGAAGTTTCATTAACATCCCAGCTTAAATTTTCCCTTTCAAATTCCCAGCCAGGCTTTCAGCTAGCCCCATTCCTAATTTTAGATGTCTGGTTTACTCAGTGAGCAATCTGCGTTGCCACTAATGAATGAACCACGGCACTTGCTAACAAGGCTTGCTGTTTAGCCTGCTGCTAGCACCTACTTACTCCTTTACAGATACAGAATTGTCCTTTTCCACTTGCTTTTCAACATTTTTCACCAAAACTTCCCCATAGTGCTTCATTATAGGGAACATCTGTAACACAAACCAGAGATGGTCACTTATGTAGAGTACGTTTACTCCTTTAAGACAGGCTTATGAAGACTACAGGGAGTTTCATGAATATTTACAAATAAGATATATCTGCTAAGCTTTTATTTTAAGCCTTTTTTGTTTTAAATTAGGCATAAATTAAACAGGCCAGCTTAGTTGCCTGGCTCTGACTAAAGAAATCGGACCCCTGTGACAATCCCAGCCTGAAAACACTGCCTACTGACTTTCTGATTTAGTTTGTACCTGATCCTCTGTAGTTTACCTCCTTTAGTTTCCCACTGGTGAAGGTTGGAGAGAGCACAGTACGAATCCTTTTCCACTGTTCGTCTTCTGCTAATGAGATAGCGTCTTTCAGCACCCCTGCTAGATCTACGTGCTAGAGGGGAAAAAGGCAAGGTGTTAACCCCACAAAAGATAGCGGCTTCCTTGCAAGGATGGGGATGCAGCCTGCTGGTCCCTGCCCAGGTGATTTCAGGGGCATTACTACTGGCAGCAGGCTAAAGCTTTACAAACAGCCTCTCTCAAGACACGCACACGTAAATAATCCCCTTTCCTGCGGTAAACCAGCTGTGAGATGCCATTTCCATATCCAGAACAAGCCCTCCAACAAGCCCAATGCCTATACGTATGTGCATACCCACACCTAACCATGCCACCCAGAACCTGCATCCCAGCTAGTGGCATATGTGCTAGCTGGACCCTTACAGATTCCTACATGCTCACACAGACCCAAATTCATCCATAAATATATAGGTGTGAGAGCAGAATTTGACTGATGTGCAGGCAGCCAGCTTCCTCTGCCAGCCTGGGTATGCAGTCCCCAGGCTGTAAGGCAGGGGAACAGTGACATACAGTGGCCATTTACAGTAATCCCTATAGTGCAGCCACTCGTCCCCTGTGGGAACCCTGCTAGGCACTTGGCGTGCTTGTCTCCTCCTGTGCTTTGTTTTCTGGACTCTGTGGTACACCACGATGCTTCTGCTCTTACCCTCCGGTTGGTAAAGGTGGAGTAACAGTCTTTAACCAGCACAGATTTAATGATTTGAGTGTCCATGACAGCCAGCACAGGTTGCCTGCCATCGTAGATCCTGGCAGGGGGAGAAGAGGAGAGATAAACAACCCTAGATAGCTGAAGTGCAAGGCTTGGTTGATGCCCATGAAACAAAATGCATTAAATAAATGCTCCTCCATCACCAGTCTTGCTGTTCTGCAGATGTCAAAGCGCAGAAATGTAGAAAGTAGAGGTGGAAGAGGACTCCCAGGCCTTCTCCCATCTGGTTTTGTAAATGATAGAGGGGGATTCAGTGGGAAATGAGCAGGGCTCAGTCCCTCAAAGGACCAGATACTAAATGAAGCAAGTGTCTTCACTTCCTCCCCTGACTCCCTGTGTTTTTCCAGGCACTTAAACACATTACAGTATTAGAAGGAAACTTGTTCGACCCCTTTCAGGCTCTTGAATTGCGTGTCTAGAGACTTGGGCTGACAGCACTGAGATATCCTTGGAGATGAAACTCAATCCTTGTTTTTGTCTCTTTAAGCTGCCAGTTCTGAGCACTTTCCTGCAACAAATGTAGATTACGCATATTTATGCACTTTCCCCATTTATGTAATCTTTTCTAGACTCCATTTTTAAAGTTGCTATAGGGAGCCATGGATGCATTATAGAGGATATGCAAGTTTGTAGTCCAAATTATAACAGCAGCAATAAAAGTCATGGATGCCCAGAGCAGAGCAATGATAGCTGCACTAGCTCCCATTGCAGCAAGTAAGGAACAGCAGCGCAAGGAAGTCGGCAGACTTTGGGTCTGCTTTTTCACTTAGTATTGGGAGTCACTCACATTCCTCTGCTGTTGGTAAACCAGAGGCATCTGACCTCCTGATTCCAGACTCTTCCTCAAGTAACTAATAGTTTTGCTGCTGATTTTGTCAGGAGCAGCTGAGGGCCTTCTGTTATCAGCTTTAAAACATCTTTCATAGTATAGGTCAAAGCAATTTCCATATAGAACGACAGCAGCACAGCCCTGCAATCATCAGCCTTTAATGTAAGCTAGCATGAGCACCCTGTCACTGCTGTACTCACAGCACTGGGACCATCAAGGCTGCAGGTAGAGAAAAGGGAGCTTTCCTAATTTTTTCTCCCCTTTCTATGGATTCTAGTTTTAGCATAAGAACAGATCATGGTTCATACTCACCCCCAGACTTTCCCATATTTCTGGAAACATTCACTGTCAAACACCAAGAAACCCTGTGGAAAGCAATTTAAAAATTATCTCTGAGAGGATGATGTTGGAGACAGTGAGTTGGGAGGAATATCTGCGAACTGATGTTCAGAGGTGCCTTCTGAGTTCTCTTCCTCACCAAAAACATCACGAAGGACAGCATGAATGTACATCATGCTTGCAAATGAGCTGTTTGCCAGGATGCTGGCAAAGAGCCGCTGTAAATCAGCCACCCACCAGTGCTCGTTTGAAGATGCTGTAAAGGCAAGGCCCCATGGTCTGTGTGACTGAGCCCTTATCCCGCTCTGGCCTTTGCACAACCTGTGTGTTAGAGCGGAGCTTGGCATTTGGAGATAACTTATCATCACGATGTATCTGTTTAGCTACAGCTGTATGAGCAAAAGCAGATATTTCTAGAGCCAGGAGAGCTTCAGTCACTTACTTTGCGATATTCCAGGCACGTCCCAAAGAAAGGCAGAGGTCTTGGCCCAGGAATACCCAACTTCTTGAACAAACTGTGTGGCCAAGTTCCATACCTGTAGGACAGAAAACGCAACCGAGTGCTACATCACCATGGCATTGGGGCTGCAAGCTTTCCTAAACCTGGAGACTGCAGCAGTGTCCTTTTGGCTCGAAGTACAGGAGGTTGATCCAACAGCCGGAAAAAAGTGTCCCAATAGAAAATTGCCCTGTAAAAACTTAATAAACATGGTGAGGCTTGCCGCTGCCCCACAGAACTTCAGAGAAATCGCTCTGATGTAAAAGCAGCTGTCTCCTAAGGGCATAGGTACCCTGGTGGAAACAGAACCTTAAAGCCTCTAGCAAAAGTCAAAAGAGGAGCTCATTGCCAACTAAAGGAGAGGTAGAAAAGGGAGCTGGAAGAAGGAATAGGAAGCCTACATGTTTTTATTGAAGAGAAGTTGAAGCAGTGCCAGAAATGATGTCCCAAACAGGGCTTTTGTCAAGCTGCACTTTAATTTCATTTATTGTTCTCCCTCCCCTTAGCCTGGTGTTAGCTCGGTGGTGCATCAGGAAGTTTTGTCTTGATGGTTTTCTCTTTAGATTTTATTGACAGCTTTGCAGATTTCTTTCCTCTGAAGCACCCTTTTTCACAGCTGTAAAGTTATTACTTCTACCTCAGGGCCTTCTGTTTCTCAACAAGGGCCTGGGCTGCAGCCCTTTGAAGCTTGTCTTTGGCTGTGTTGAAAGAGCTCCTCAAAATATTTGTTTTTAGTTAGCTGCAGCTTCCCAAGTGAGAAGTTCATTGCAGAAGGGAGGTAAGACTGCAAAGGTTTGGCAGAAGGATGTTATCAGAGATCTGCTTTGGGCCATGAGGCACCAGCCGGTCAGCCAGCATCCTGGGGACACTTTCCTGAAAAGCCAGAGTCTATGCTGAGACTTAGCAGGGGGAAAGGGAGTGTCCCTTGCAATTAGCAATATTTTTCTAAATCTGGGGGACCCCAAATGAGATCAGTCTCCCCAGCACCAGTTCTGCCAGAGCACAAAAGGGGACCTCATCTTATGATCCAAACAGAGTAGGCAAAAGCCAGGGAACAGGGTGTTTCCAGGTGCAGAAAGTTTTCACAGAGCTCAGTTTGTCAATGTTTAACCTTTTCTGTTAACTCAGTACTAAATATAAAATGTTTGTGGATCTCATTCGTAATGTTTATGGGCAGCCAGGGCTGCGGGAGGACCAGGAAATACCAGGCTGGTCTGGTTACAAAGCCCAGAAACACTATAGGAACATAGGCTAGGCTTAATCCGTTTGAAACGTGGCCAGGAACACACAGTCTAATGCTCTTACAACTAAAACGTGCCATGGTTTTCTGAAGGCTGAGAAGGACCATTCAGTGTAAAGCCAGAGAGCAATCATTACTTCTTCTTACCATGGATGTGAACCAGAAATGCCTGATATTCCTTCATGTGTGAACTGGAACAGCGCTGCCCCAGATGGACAAGAACCATCTGAACAACCTCCCTGTGCTAATAGGCAGTGAAATTTCTATTTTAGCTCGGCTATCAGAGCACAAAGATCTGGGCTTCATCTCTTTTGCCACAACAAAATCACAAGTGGCTGCGGAAGGTGGGAGTCTGATAACTAGAAATCTTAGATGGCCACAGAGTCATTGCAATATGAGGGTCTGGGTCAATAATGAGGGTGGGGTTTTGTGGTGGGTTTGGTTGGTTTGGGTTTTTTTTGAAGTCTGCTCCAAACAGGCTTTTGAATGATTCGAATCACAGGAAAGGGTTTGAGAAAGAGGGCTAAAAGTTTCAGAGCTTACTGAACTGCCATGGTTGGAGCACTGCCAGGGCAGCCAAATGGATTGTGCTCATGTGCACCACATTAACTGTTAAGGTTTATGGCTAGCAACATGCTGTCTCTGCCTGAGGGCTTGTCAACGCTACAAAGTTTGTCAGTCCGGCCTTGTTGGCAGAAGCTGCCAGCGGAGACATTGTACGTCCCAGCAGAAGAGGGTTTTCAGCCTGCCCTGCTATGCTGCAGCGCCGAACAGCATCCACCAAGCAGATTAAAGCGGTTTCTCGCTAGCACGGCTCCTCTGAAGCAACGGAGTGCACTTCTGCCTGCCAGAGTTTGTCTGAAAAGCCGGGAGCAGGGCTCTGGCCTTGTTCTGGGCTCCATTTCTTCCCCCAGCACGGGTGGGCTGTGGGGACGGGCACGTGATGCTGTCCCTGCGGGCATGTGGCAAATCTAACGTCTGCAAGGTATCCCTCCTGGTCCGAGTGCCTGTGCATGGAGCATCTTACTTGGGCGCTACAGGAGGAGTCAGGAGAGAGCTGATCCCGTGAACGCTCTTTTCCTGGTGCCTTTCTGCCGCTCTCCACCTTTGCAGGTAATGCACTCGGGTCATCTACTGCCTGCTCCCCTCCATAGGGCAACCTCCGTCAGGGAGGCACGGCCTTTCTTAGACTGTATTTCTGGGGAAAATAACCTAACAGATCATGATCCTCACTGACACCAGCACCCTGCTGCTAATGAATGCATGGCACCATTATTATTTGATTACTGCTTTGATGCTTAGCAGTAAGATCATAGCAGTGCACGGGAATACTCCAAACCTTGGCGCAAGATCACTCATCTGTATAGTCTTTAGACTCCTCTGCTACTTCCCAGAGCCTTGCTAGAGGCTGGAAATCTAGAAATCACACCTACCTGTTTGCTCTTCAGCAGATTAGTTGCATGAAAATAAACAATGGCAAGAACAGGAAAATTGCATGAGCAAAGAACCAGTAAAGAGTATTTTTACTTACACTACCAGGAGGGCTACAAAAATAAGCAAAAGGGCCCATGTCCACAAGGAGAAGGAGGGAAGAAGGTTCATTCTGGTTCTTCTCTGGTGGGCTTTGAGTTCTGCGTTGATGTGTTTGACCCAGGTCTGCGGGAAATATGAGTGTTTCACGGTGTGTAATCTTTTGTGTCCAATCATGTGATTTAGGGGCTGTCCTTCTGTCATGAAGGAGGAGGAGTGAAAGGCAAAGGTAGCAAAGTATGCTAGTCTGAAAAACATGATTCATGCGATAGATAAATGCCTGGCTGAACTGTCTAAGGTTTAAATTATTTAATACATATATTGCCAGGCACTTCAGCTACTTTTTCTGTTGTAATAGTAAGTAATAACTGACTTCCTGCTTAGCAATGCTCCTGGGCTCCTGCACCAAAATAAATAAAACCAAGTTACAATGAAAAGGTAAATCCCAAAGCAGGTGTCAGAGTAGGTTTACAAAAGTGAAAGAGAAGTGAAAAGGTTATTCATATATTGTGCGACAAGATCTTTTCTGGCAGCTGAATTAACTTTGGCAGAATTTAAGATTCTGTTTAAAATATCTTTCTTTCTGTATTGTGAAGAGCAAGCTGTGGTGGGCTAGAAGCAGCTTATAACAAACGCAGGAATTTGCCCCCTGTAAAGGTTTTAGAAGTCCACTTTGTCTTCTGGCTTGTGGCCAGGCGTTTTGTAAGAGAAATACTGTCATTCCACAACTGTAAGCAGTTAAAGTACCACCATTTCCAAAACATCAGCTCACGTTTGGGGATAAAAACAGCGTTCACCCTTCTGCAGCAGCTGGCAAAACAAGACAAGCAAAGGGAAAACACAATATTTTTTTTAATGGTTATCCTGTAAGGATGGTGCAGAAAAGTGAGCAGCCTAGAGGTATGGATGTGCTAAAAGAAGATTAAGATGGTGGAGAAAACTGGGTTATTTGGATCGTGTTTGTTAGGGCCATCATGTTAGGGCAGGAGGCTATATGGTTTGCACAGACGTGTGCTACAGTGTTCATTCAGAATTCTAAAATGAGCAATTCCCTTCCTATTGGCACAGCTGCCGTCCTCACACGTGAGTTTACTGACTGCACTGGGTGCAAATAACCGGGTGTTACAAATATTTGGCACACCAAATGCCTCGTGTCTCCGAGGACATGGCTGTGACTGATGCTGGGTTGACTGATAAATGGATCCCAGTCCACATGGTGATGAGAGGCACATTCTGAGAGTCATCATCGGACTTATCTCAGCAGCATTTATATCTCATTTCACCTTTGCCTGGTCTTTGCTCTGATCTTGAGAGACAACCCAGTTGCAGATTATTTTATAATAAAGATAGTCTACTTTAGTTTGACATAAACAGACAAGTTCATGACATAGTTTCAGAGATGTTGAAAGAGCATGTGATTAAATAGGTGGTTTCACACTCAGGAGCTCGTCACAGCAGTGAACTTTTCTTCCAGGGTTCCTCTTTCCATGTTTTGACATAGCCTTGAGATCTGAATGTACTGGGCACCAAATGTTCCTGACTCACCATGTTGTGAAACAGGTTGGTACAGTTTATTCAGGAAATACGATAGCTGTGGGGCTCTCCATCCTCAGTAAAAATAAGCCTCAATCCTTCTCCTGTTTGGGTCATTTTTAAGGGTAAGAATAGTACCTGAAAAAAAAAAACTTGTTAAAAAAAAAGATAATTGCAAGGTCTTGTTGCTGGTTTTGCATTATGGTTTTATGATCTCTGCCCAATGGACTGCATCTATTGACTTAAACAAAACCGCACCATCCCCTTGAGTAAGCTGATAGACAAGCAAATAAACAAATAAACAAAACCTCATATATTAATCCACGCTCGAGGAAAGTCAATGACACGGGAATGAATGACCGAAGTCCAGCTCAGAGCTGAGTTTATGCCCTAACTTGCCTTACACTGAAGCTACAAACCTCCAACTCTAGGCTGTGGTGCCCCCTCAACCGCTACAGGGTACAGCAAGCTGGCCAGGAGGTTGTGTTTGAGAGGTGGCTTGGGCATCTTCAGAGGGGAGCCTGGGGAAGACTTCTCCTGCCTTCCATCTCTGGGAGGGAGGAGAAACGTCAGCTTTTTGGCATCATCTTCAGCCAAGGCTGAACCCCACCTCACAGAAATGGTGGCAAGGAGGGGAACTGCACAGCCAAGCCCCAGCCTACGCTCTCTCTTCCCAGACGAGGTCGTCTCTGCCCACCTGGATGCACCTGCACTGAGCCAGCACAATCGTCCATTCACCCTATCCATGTCTTCCAGATGTGCCTTATTCCTTACCACCACGGGTTTTTAGGCCCATCCTCTCCTTCTCCTGGACATTTCGAAGTGCACTGCATCCCATCACGGGTTTTTGTGAGCCCACCACCCCAGGCATCTGGAGCAGAGGCACACTGCTCAGGGGCATGAGAAGGTGCAAGGCCAGATGGGGATGCAATTATTTCTACGGGAACACGCTGCTAGTGACACCGTAGTCTCATTCATGGGTGACAATGTCACACATGATGTGCAGTGCACGGTGGCCATGCAACACTCACCCTTGTCATTGAGGCTGCTGCACCATGTGGTAGCTCCCATGTTGCCACCGTGCTCCCAGGACAGCCACCAGCTGAGGGTGAGAGGTTTAAAAAGCCAAAGTTTGAAGCAAATTCAGAAGAGAACTGAGCTGCTTTTCCCTTTTTAATGCCCTTAAGTAGCTCAGATTAATGGATTAATGGCTTTCAGGAAAGCAAAATAACACTGCATTGTGTCATGAAGGGAGTGCTCCTAATCCAGGTTGTGAACAAGGTGTGATGAGCAGGAAGGATTTCTTGTGTAACAATGACTTGGGGCTGGGCAGTAAAACAGAAGAACACGTGTATCCTCCACAAGCTGTGAAACCAAATAATGTAGGGTAAGAAAAACACTGTAGAATAGCAATAATGACTGGGGCATGGGTGTGGAGAAGAAAGAGCAGTTTAGAAGAGAAAGAACTATTGCAAAAAAAAAAAAAAAAAGCCACAGTGGGTAACATTTTGTGTTCACGATGAAAAGGACTGCGAGGGAATAAGGAGAGCAGGCTGGATAAGCCTGAATCTTCGGGTCTAACTCACTTTTGAGTATGATCATGCCAGATATTCTCCTGAGATACTTTGAGGAATTTGTTTTAGATTCCCAGGGCTGGACCAGTTGCAGCAGAGACTCTGCAGTGCTACTTGGGATATAAATATTGCTGGGGAGTTGTATCATTATGGAGTACTTTAAACTCTCCAGATACAGATCATAAAAATGCTACCAATCATGCAGGGCTCAGATAATCTCTGTATGGGAGATGGTAGATTTCTGCACTGGAGAAACACCAAACTGGCAAGCAGTGGGACTGGTTTAGCTTCATTGTTGATAAGTAGTTTAAGATATTCTAGAAGAACAGTTAAGAGTAAAATTACCTTGGGCTGAAAGAAACACGTTCATTTAGTTTAACGCAAGTGGAAGTATAAACAAAAATAAGCTTATAACTAAGGCTCTCTTTTTCAAGAGGACAAATTAATGAAGCAAGCCAGTGGAAGTTCTCAGGGCCTTCAACGTAGTCTGTCTAACCTCCTTTTTGAGTCAATTGTGTTAATATTATCAGCCAGTTGTATGCCAAGAGATTGCAAGAATAGACTTTACACCCAGCTGCCTGAACAGCTACATTAAAAAGGATACTCGGAGTAAACCAACCAGGTAGGAGGTGGATTAAAAATACAACAATGATTTTGTAGTTCAGGGTATACTATTCTGTGTTCTGGCCATAAGATCTTCTGGGATGGGAGCTTGTTTGTGTGCCCGACTTGAACATACTGGCTCACTGGGGTCCAATTAGAGGGGCTCCAGCATACCAATGGCACTTCTCACCCCCTTGGAGACGTGCCCCCAAAGACCTTTGTTTAGTCTAGCTAAATGATAGCTGGGCTGGAAGGTGGTTGCTATGAGATAAATGCCAGGTAGAAGAGCTATTTAATCAAATTGTGATGTTGGTGCAGAGACAAATGGGTATAACCATCCAGAAACAAAGGCCAGGCTGGAAATCAGCACAGTCCTGGCCTGGAAAGCTCAGAAGTCTTCCCGTCACGGGGTTAAAAGAAAGAAAAAAAGCTCAGATAGTGTAAAATGGGGCTAGAAAAGACAGCTGCTGGTGGGAGGGAGCAATATATTAAATTTACCAATGGTCTTCTGCCAGAGTGGTGTGAGGAGTTCACTTTCAGCATAGGCAGAAGATGTGGGGAGGCAACTATTTATTTCCCCTGATACACAGTGGTTTAGTTACCCACAGGAAAATCCTTCATAATGAAGGCTACATTTTGTTGTCAGTGGTTAAAATATTGATACGCTACTGCTGGATAAAAAATCAATGTATTTGGAGGGGTCTCTAATGATACTTTATGTAGTTCTGTGTATAGATGACTGATACTCTCTTGCACATAGACTTCCTTGGGATTTAAAAAGCTCACAAAAAAAAACCTCAACAAAAAAGTAATTAATTCCCCTGGATGTTTTGTTCCATATACTGAGCTTTGGAACTACACAGAAACTAGGACATTTTTCTGATGTTTTTTCAGTTACAGTAATATCCCTGATACATACTGATCTTGTTTCATAATCTTTACAATATATCATCATCTTCCTTTTCATTCTAAGAAATGACAGCTACAAAACCTATATGATATCTGGATAGCTAATTAACTCTGAGCACTGCATTCTTTTCCTCAATCCAATATAAATGTCTGTTTGAGGTTCTCTCACTTTAACCTTATAAAATGAGTTAAGAAAAAATAAAGTATCCTGCTAGTCCTGCTAGCTCCACACATGACTTTTCACCTGCATTGCAATGAAAGACAAGGTTACATCCCACAAGGGAGCAGCAACATCAGTCCTGGACAAATGCAAATCAGAAGAGGTGTATTTCCAGTATAAGGTGTAAGACCATGTTCTTTCCTGGATGTTTTAGGGAGGTTACCTTGATGGGGCAGCTGCGTGCGAGCGCTGCTTTGTTACACCATAATTTTGGCAAAGTCATTCCAAGAAGT